CAAGCACTATATCAAGGAAATGTTCTTCCTTAGTCTATTGATCCTTTGGACTAAAAAAAATAATTATCTTGGTTTTCAGGAATAAAGTCTGCTTCACATTTTGTATTTATTTCCATTTTCAAAAAAATATAAAAATCCTAATACTTAAACACAATGCACAAAAAAACGGAAAATGAACAATGAACTTTATGATGGTGTGGGCAGTGACTGAGAACCAAGACTATTAATATTTTTGCCTTAATCACATACATGTACTTATATTAGATGAAGATATTTGATACTCATGATAATATGCTACTCAAAAGAGTGAAGTATGATCTGAGTCTTTCATATCACTATACTACGGTTATTAAGAACTCAAAGGCACCACCAATTTTAATTTGTTATAACCCTAGTTCGTTATAAGCAGATATACAGCAAATGAACGGAACCCCAAAACAGTTCGTTATATCCGTCAGTTCCTTATAAGGGTGTTCATTATAAATGTAGTTTACTGTAGATAATGTGCTGTGGCATTACCAAATGTGTCTGTCTGTCTGTCTGTCTGTCCAATAGCAATATTCCAGCTAATAGACGGCAGTCTGTAAATAATCGAGTCTGGACCAGACAATCCAGTGATTACTGTCCAATAGATAAATCAATCAAATCATCAGTATGAGACAAGTTGACTTGACTTCGATTGGTGTCACTAACTAATAAACATATCAACATCGTTCATCAGGGATATAAATAAAGATGCTTAAGTGTCACTGTGTCACTTGCAACATGGCAAACACACGGTTAGACCTCAAGTACATCCGGGCATCGTGAGGTAAAGTCTTGGTTACCAAGGATACATGTTCAAAAACAATGACACATATCTGGCAGTGGCAGTCAGGAATGCATGATCCAAACCTGCCCCGCAAGACTTTTGACTACAAACGACATCCTAACTAGGATGGGCAGAGCACACAATCTAAACAGTGTATTTCATGAAATAAGCTGGACAATAAACACTAGAACATACACATCTTCTTTTATACTATAGATCATATCTGATACAACCCCCCAAAATAATCCACAAATGCTATTGTTTATCTCATCTCTGAATGAATAAATGTGGGAAGTACTGTGCGACCTGCCTGGTCTGGGGGGGTAGGGGGTGGGGCTTATTAAAACAATACACAACATTTTTCAAGACACTCCACCCCTTATTTTAAGCCATAATTATTCATGACCCTACATACAGGCACAGGCACGCACGCACACAAATACATAATACCCCACCCCCAACCAGCCCCTATGAAAATGGAGGGGTGGATGGGGGTGGGGTATTATGTAATTGCGTAGATCAATGTTCATGATATTAATCACTGGATTGTCTGGTTCAGACTCGATTATTTACAGACCGCCTTCATATACCAGGTAGCTGGAATATAGCTGAGAGCGGCTAAAAACAACAAACCAACAAACACTGACCAACTGATCCCATTAGCTGCCTCTTATGACAAGGCATAGTCACCTTTAGTGCAAGCATGGGTTGCTGAAATCATATTCTAACCCAGATCTTCACAGGTCTTTCTTTTCCTGAAATATGCTGCATGTATAGTCCCACCCAACATCTATCATTTATGTTAATCACATCTGTCAACAGCTATTGTCCACAGATCCCTTTGTCTTGTTGAATATGCAGCACCTATACTGTTATATACATATATATACATTCTATTCAGATCAGAATAACAAATATAATGAACAACATATGATAGCATGGTTAATATCATATAATATCTGTATATTACCTCCAAAGCAGCCTAGCTGCAAAGGACTGTATCAATGATACATACATATATTACCAAAACATCTGTTGTACATGAAGGGACAACACTGTGAGTTCAAATTTCAGCCCACAGTCTGCCTGACATTTCAGTTTGAGCTGTTAACAGAGAGCCACACACAGGTGTACAATCTCAGTCACTCATGAATTACTGTGGATGGATGACTCTACTGCTAACAACGTTTCACACAGCACAGACAGTGACGTCACCCATAGTTCATTATGTTCATGACATCATTATAGGGCTGCGACGAGTCCAAATTTACGACCCGGGTGGCGGGTACTCAATTCCCTATTTCCCGACCCGGGTACTCGATCCCCTATTTCCCGACGCGGGTAATCGATCCCCTATTTCCCGACCCGGGTAATCGATCCCCTATTTCCCGACCCGGGTACTCAATCCCCTATTTCCTGACGCGGGTAATCGATCCCCTATTTCCAAACCCGGGTACTCGATCCCCTATTTCCCGACCCGGGTACTCGATCCCCTTTTCCAAACCCGGGTACTCGATCCCCTATTTCCCGACCCGGGTACTCGATCCCCTATTTCCCGACCCGGGTACTCGATCCCCTATTTCCCGAACCCGGGTAATTGATCCCCTATTACCTGACCAGGGCAATCGATCCGCTATTTCCCGGCCCGGGAACTGGATCCCCCCTTTACCAACCCGGGTACTCAATCCCATATTTCCCAACCCGGGTACTCAATCCCCTATTTCCCAACCCGGGTTCTCAATCCCCTATTTCCCAACCCGGGTACTCGATCCCCTATTTCCCAACCCAGGTACTCGATCCCCTATTACCTGACCCAGGAAATCAATCCCCTATTACCCAACCCTACCCTTACCTGTCCCAGCCCTACGCCATTAACAATCAGACAACTAGAAATTGTTGCACAGATAGTTCAGAATGTGGAGTCATTCACTGTTCATAACATTATTACAAAGAAACAACTAGAAATCATGTTCAGTGTTTGACACTAACCAAAATTTGTCAGTTGTCAAATGGACTAGCACATAGCAAAATCTACTGGTCCAGCATTAGAAAGTAACTGTTTTAGTCCACTAGTCCTTATAATGATAGCATAAAGGAGAACTCTTAACAATGGCAAATTTCTACTCATCCTTATGATACCTTAACTAGTGAGTGAGTATGGTTTTACACTGCTTTTAGCAATATTCCAGCAATATCACGGCGGGGGACACCAGAAATGGGCTTAACACATTGTACTCATGTCGGGAATCGAACCCGGGCCTTCGACGTGACGAGTTAACGCTTTAACCACCAGGCTACCCCACCGCCTCCCTTAACTATTGGGCAGTTTGTCAAGGACTAGTGCCAATATCTTACACTGTGGTCCTGTTGAATCGCTACTGAACACAAAGGTGCTGACCAAAAAGGGTTATAAATGGTATTACTTTGTTCTTATACTACAAGCTCAAGGTGTACCAAACTACAGAAATGAAAGGCAAGTTAATGCTGGTCAACTTCAAAGGTTCATTTCTTTGCAACAGCTCGACCTTTCACCTTCTCCCAGTTAGTGTGGAACACATCCATAAAAACAATACCTCACACTGAAATTAGATGCTACATCCAAGTGCTTAGAACATGTAGAATGAGAAACCAGTCTAGCATGTAAACTACAGTATTATGCAGGGCTGTTTAGGTTGTTTAATTTGCTGAGAGTTTGGTGTCGATTTATCACTGATTTCATGAGTCATACAAACGTCAATTACTTTTTTCATCCCCAAAGAAACACTAGATCAAACGACTACCATTTATTTAATTTTACTCGTCCTCAAGAAATTATACTTAACTGGAACCAGCAGACCAGCGTTAGTGTCAAATTGACACCAGGCAATGCGAATGCATTGAAGACACACGTAACGTTGATAATGATTACTTGTATATTCCTATACTAAAGGGGACAGTGTACTGCTCTCGGTAGGAAGTGACAACATGGAGTCGATAGCTTGCAGTATATTCAAGTTTACTTTAAACAGGCAGTGTATATATAAATGACAAAGTGATACTGGTGGTGTTGGTCCCCTGGAGCACTAAGCCTAACCCTAGCTATGCTAAGGGCAAGACCTCTCAGCTTTCATTTCTGTACCAAGACTTATAATATTAAAGGTCACCTGACCATGCTGACACCAAATAAGTCATAAATATTATAAACCACCGTAATTAATCAGTGACAGTTGCACAGCTCTTTGGGATGACAGACAGTCAATGTACAAAACAATGGGGATTAACAATAGGGATTAGCATCTAAAGTAATGGCAGTTAAGTGATTCAGGACATATCATGGCAACAGGGTAATTAGTCTTATCATGGCAACAACGTAATTAGCCTTTGGATTTAAATCTTCATTCAGACAATGGTTGTCCCAAATCAGTCGCCATGACATTTACTGAATTTTTGTCATTTGTCCTAATGATCATGCTGATATCTGTAAAAAAAATTCTAAAATTAAGTACCTTCAGCCAATATTACCCATAAAATTTGGTTGTAGCTGTGGCCAGTTTCTATTCTCATCGACTTGGATCATGTGGAAAAATTTGTACAGATGACATATTTTTACATATAACATGATAATTATTAATACATAACCTCTCAGGAATTATGGAACTTCAATCAGATTCTCAACTTTCCTTGGGAGGAGATTATTTTCCTTACTAAATCTACTTCATATGAACCGACATATTCAACTGCAAAAGTCTTCCTCGCTGTCGTACACTTCAAGGCCACTCGTTTATTCAAATCTAATGCATACCCCGTGAATTTCAACTGTGGAGATAGTTCCGGTTACAACGTCAAAAAATCCTAAAGCGGTACACGGATATAATGCGAGTATACTTCGTCACGCCCAACAATATTGAACTTGAATAGAGCCTGCCATCAAAGCCGACAAAGGCCGAAGCCAGCTAGCGGGTGGGTCCCCTTTGCCACGCCTTCTTTTCCAACCCCTCAGTGTACACATTTACTTGTTTGTTATAATGCTTAAACCCTTGTGTAGCAACAAATTGCCGTGTGATACACATCCAACATAGATAAATGCAACATTAGCGACATATATTACACAGTTTTAATTATTGATGTATTCAATAACAACGATAATCAACATTATCTTCCTCATCCGAGAAGTCGGTTATACCGACATGTTTTCGGTGTTTTCACTCACCCCAATCCTCGTTAGTGAGCATGTTGTTGGCAAAGAATCGCCGATCCACCTCGGATACAAAATCTACCGACATTTCGTTAATATAATGACTGGTATAAACACACCAGAATATTTTTTAGAGTAAAACCATACAATACGCGTGGAAAATTCAACAATATGGCTGGTTTCTATCCCAGAGTTCCGTATACCGGAATCTAGTTTACACGATTGCAGGGGTTTTCATTGGTTAAGGCATTAGAGCTATAAATAGAATATACACATGTGTACACATGTGTTGTTGACTTCAGTCGATATTCTGTTTACCGTGGGATAAAGTCTATCGTGTTTCGTTAGTACTTTGTCGTTGACTGATAGGCTACAATTTGTCTTGCGTCTAACAGAGGCACGACAATTACAGTCAAAGAACATCAAATGACACGGGCGGATCAAGCATTTCTAAAAGGAAGAGGGCCAAAGTCTAAAAATCATTCTCATATAATCTCACTGCCTACATCATACTACCCCCTTATTAGAATAACTTATGAATGACTTATCTTTAAATTATTCGTATCTCTGCATACATGTATGTTTGTTGAGAGAAATCAAGAGTGATGGTTTTGATGCCAACTATTATTGTAATACTGTAATTAATGTGCGACGGTTTGGGTCAATTTGAGTTATAAACAGATAAAAATAAACACAACCTGACGATTAGACCTGTTGTTTATTGATTTGAACTGTAAACGCACGGACAAGATGATCTTGATGGACAACTTGCACTCGTGACATCTTGGCGTGGGTCGTTGTCGTCATTCATGCTATCAAACACTGGTTTGTCTGATACAAATTTGTCTCCGTCACTGACAAGTTGACGTGACACAGAGAGCAAACATTCACTCACTGGGTCTGCGACATTGTTTTTTAAGTCCGGGCTTGAGAGCTCTGACCCCTCAGGGACCCTGATGTGTTTTTACTGTTACATCTATGGTTGTGTTGTGCTGGAGGACGATGGGATAGCATAGTGCTCTATAAATGTCACATCTATACCAACCTCTGCCTCAGGCCGTAGTGATACATCATCCATGACGCTTGTTATCATACACATTTGCATGCTTGCCGCAAAATACGCACGTGACTGCATTAGCGTATACATTTTGAACATATGCACGTTAATATGTTGCTGTACATGAGGATTTAATTAACAATATAATAAAGCCTGAAAGATATAAATCACCATACTTTAATAAGAAAAAATATATTAATATATTCTCCGTGGATAATACCTGTTTCTCAACAAACATTTCCAATAAAATAGGTGAAGGTTGATTATCTAACACTATAGGCACAGTTTACTACATTTTCTCATAAAATGTACTATGGTAGGGGTAATATAGAGAATAACAGCACATACACAACTCGGAATTACTTAATATCTCTCCCTCGTGAATAAATTAATTAATTTGCTTTGGACAGAGATAAAGAGAGATTATTATATGAGCATGTGTGTCATACTTATTTTAGGAAACGAGTGTCAATATTATTTGTATTTCCTGAGCGAGAATTCTTACACGAGTTTCGTAAAAATCAGTAAGACACACATGAGAGTGTGATATCTTCCCCATTTCACATTATTTCTGAATCCCCTTGAGCCCCTTTAAAAATGCACAGACCACGACCACCGTTTTAGAAACCACTATTTACACAAAATTCAGCTTTGACGTCGTTTCTAGTGTGACCTTACGTCACAACAGAATTCGAATGACGTCAACAATGACGTCCGGATGACTCTGGTGCGAGTGAAGTGATATTTGCACTAGTGTACATACATTTTTTTGTTAGCTCGGTTATTTCTAACTCTATGGGTTTCTATGCATTTCCTACATTTCCTTGCTCGCTGACTTGGTTGATGCATGTCATCGTATATCAACTGCGTAGATCGATGCTCATAATGTCAATCACTGGATTGTCTGGTCCAGACTCAATTATTTACAGACACCGTCATATAGCTGGAATATTGCTGAGTGCGGCGTTAAACATCAAACAAAACTTTCCCTTCCTTGTGTGCAAGCGAGTAACACGATGCTTTACGTCACTGTACTTCACGATAGACATCCATTTACTTCACGATGGACCCAGACCGCCTCCGTGGTCTAATGGTAGAGCGTCCGCCCGGAGAGCGGAAGGTCCGGGGTTCGATCCCTGGCCGCGTCATACCAAAAGACGTTAAAAGATGGTAACTTGTTGTTACCCTGTCTGGCGCTCGGCATTAAGGGGCTAAAACAAGGACTGGTCGGCTCGGAGTCAGTATACTGTGTCTGAGTGGGGTATTCATGTTAAACTGCGGCATGGTATCCCAGTGGGCTAGCACTATAAATCGGCATCGGTCCGGACTAGTACAAGCAGCCACACACACACATACACGTGCATGCACGTCGCTATATAAGTGCAATAATCTTCGACGCGACGTTAAACCCCATTTCACCTCACTTCACTTCACGATGGACCCGTGAAGAGTCCGAGGTAAAATAGGTCTTCAGCAACCCATGCTTGCCGTAATTGGTTACTATGCTTGTCGTAAAAGGCGACGAACAGAAGCGGGTGGTCAGGCCCGCTGACTTGGTTGATGCATGTCATCGATCCCAATTGCTTGGATCGATGCTCATGATATTAATCACTGGATTGTCTGGTCCAGACTCGATTATTTACAGACCGCCGTCATATAGCTGGAATATTGCTGTGTGGCGTTAAACAACAAACCAACCAACCAAACCAACTTCACGCTGAAGAAGTAAAATGGTATATATTTTCAATTGTATCGGTAACAAAAAAATACAAAGGCAAAATACAAATCACATTGAACTTCAACACTATGATAATAAATCAAGGGGTTTTGTGTTAATACATACTATGGTTATTGATGTGGCAACAGCCACGGACGTTCAATGCAACATACTGATCAATGATTTCCCCATCTGGTGCAGGATAATTGTCCATCACATGCTGTGTTTAACGACAGAATCAATACCTTGATACATTCCCACGTGTTCAAAACTGGGCTCAACAAATAAAGTGACTTCCTGACTGGAAATACAACGTAAACGTGACATATACAGTAAACTACGGTTATAACGAACACGCTTATAACGAACTGACGGATATAGCGAACTTACTTTGTGGTCCCGACTACTTGCTGTAGTCATGCTGTATATGTACTTATAACGAACTACGGTTATAACGAACTAAAATTAGTAGTCCCTTTGACAAAACCGTAGTTTACTGTACAGTAAACTACGGTTATAACGACCACGCTTATAACGAACTAACGGATATAACGAACTAACTTTTTGGTCCCGACTATATGCTGTAGTTATGCTGTATATATGCTTATAACGAATTACGGTTATAGCGAACTAAAATTAGTAGTCCCTTTGAGTTCGTTATAACCGTAGTTTACTGTATCAACATACAGTCACAGACACCAGATCCATGTACTGATGGGAAGTAATAACGGAGTATACAAGAGAAATATTGTTGTTAAAACATGTACAGGGGTGAATATTAGCTGGTATAGCACTGCACATACACTGGCATAAACACCCGCTTATATCCGGGGAAATACGGGATGGATGTCAAACAAGTGTTTCCCTAATAAATAGTTCCTTAATTTGTTGTCGTCAGTATATTTACCCCGCTTCAAGATTAGATTCAAAAATAGGTAGTTTATAAATTCCAGAACTGTAAAGCATAATAACATATAGATTAATCATAGATAAAACATTAACGTAGAATGTGCTCGCTGCAGCGATTGTATATCAAGACAAGCTAAAACTAAATGTTTTGTAAATGACTTTCGACACGAATATAGATATCAGTTTACACACACAGTTGAATGTTCATTCAACGGTGCATTTAACATCACGTAGTAAACATGAAATCAATCTCTATACAAAATACACCGTAAACCAACTAAATACACCCAGAGACCATATAATAGAATGACAAGGTCTCTGATACATCGTATACCAGCTAAATACAAAGTAAAACGGATAAACAATTAATTAATTCAAAGTAACCAAAACATGATATATTTGCAATGTTATAAAAAAAAGTCTGAATATAAAATATGTATAACCAACCATATTGTCCTGAGCCAATGAAGGGCGAAAAAAGCATATCCGCCGACTTGAACCTGGTATAGTCGCTATCCAAGTCCAGATCATCCGATTCAATCTCCAGGGTGAAGGAATCCATTGTAAAGTCCTACACACCCTACCAGCTCTGATTTCAAATGACAAAGGCGCAATGCACCACGCTACATAAACGTGTACTGTACGGCAATAAACATCCCCGGCTCAAGTTGCGTCAATATGTCGTAATGTCCAAGTTATCTTTATTAAAAGTCCGAGGGGACAAATGACTATCTCCTCCCGCTACTACAACAGGTGATATCTGTGTTTCAGTTGTTTACCGAGGAAATGTTCCGCCGCGGGGCATAATAAAGTTCTCCGTCTCAATATGACAATATCGAGTAAATCTCAATTAAATCCCTCTCAGTAGGACATCACTTCATAAACTCGATGTAAACCACGGATGTAGGCAACAGATGGGTTCAGCGTTACTGATACACTACTATTAAACTCCATTGACAAGCGCGGGGCGTATAAAAGGTATGTTGCTGCAGGGTATGGTTTACGGGCAGGTTAGTCGATTGTAAAACCAGCTGTTGAATGGTCAGTCTTTTTTCTGACCAAGGGGCGCCGGACTAGTCTAGTGGTTGAAGCGTTCGCTCGTCACACAAGAGGTCCGGGTTCGATTCTCCACACGGTCAAATGTGTGAAGTGCTTATTTGGTGATATTTGCTAAAAGTGGCGTAAAACAATACTCACTCACTCTTCTTCAGGGTATGAAACTCCCAAAAATTTCAGCCAGACCACAGGACTGGCTAGCTGAAATAACTGCCAGCCCTGACCAAAACCTGCCTGCCCACTATAATCATATGTTTCTCAGGATAAGCTAACGGGATTTCTTTTTGGTTACATTTTATCATTCATCTTTACATGTGAATTAATGATTATCATCGGGTAATATTTAGAATATTGTCACATATGAAATATAACCCGACCGTCGGGTAGGGGGATTTGAAAATCTGGCAGCCCGAGTTGAAATCAACCCGTCTCGGACGGTCGGGCAGGCAGGTA